GGACCCAACTGATTTGGCCCTGGGGGTGGTATGTGGTCCTGTGAGAACAGACTGCCTGGCAAGGGCAGGCCTGATTCTTGGAAGGTTCTGGAGAACGTACCTGTGAGCGGGTGAGGGTCGGGAGGGGGACAGGGGAGTGGCTCCCTGGGGAATGAGGCTGCAGGGGTGCCCTGGAGAGCCCCTGCCCACTGGACATCGGCACCAGGGAGGTTGCTGTCCAGGCACTGTGTGACCAGCAGCTTCTCCCCGACTGTAGGTGTCAACACGTGTGACATCATCACCCTCTACATCTCTGCCATCAAGGCCTTGCGAGTGCTAGACCCCTCCATGGTCATTCTGGAAGTGGCCTGTGAGCCCATCCGCCGCTACCTAAGGTGAGGGTTGTGGTTGGCCTAGGAAGCCACTGGGACTCGGGGCTTTTTCATCCTGCCGATCTCCTCTGGTTCTAGTGGCTGGGCCAAGTGGACTGGCTCAGGGGAGGGGCTTCTTTCCTCTTGGCAGTGCTGGGCACCTGTCCTTGTCACCACAGCGTCACTGTGTGCCACTGGCAGGGGCTTGCATCAGCCCTTCCTTGGTTCCTCTCCCTCCCCCGTCTAGCACAGTGAGGGGCTCTTTTGCTCAGCCCCTCAGGCAGAACAGGCGAGAAGAGTGGGGTCTGTGCTGTCTCAAGGAACAGAGATTTCCTCGGGCCGTTTGGTGGAGAATGTCTCTCAGTGGTGCCTGGGCACAGCTGCCCACAAACCCCTCGCGCAGCTGGAGGGCACAGTGGTCCCAGGACCTGAGCAGGAAGAGCCAGGGGCCCTCTGGCACCTGCCCTGGACTCGTGCTGCTTCCCGGCTGTGACTGGCCTGGTCTTTATGACGTGGCCAGTCATCACTGGCCGTAGAGGTGGGGTCAGCAGTGCTGGCGTGCCTGGCCAGCGCTAGGGTGAGCCACGGGAAGAGCCTCGAGGGCCGCGCACTGGGACGCAGTGGTGCTCTCACCGCAGGACGCGGGAGGACACGGTGCGGCAGATTGTGGCTGGGCTGACAGGGGACTCGGATGGGACCGGGGACCTGGCTGTCGAGCTGTCCAAGACGGACCCAGCAAGCCTGGAGACCGGCCAGGACAGCGAGGACGACACGGGCGAGCCTGAGGACTGGGTGCCCGACCCTGTGGATGCCGACCCAGGTCAGCTGGCCCCGGCCGCCTGCCTGCTGGGGCTCTACTCTCCGGCACACTGCCACGCATGCTGCTGCGTCAGGGCTTTGAGGGGTCGGAGGTCAGGCTCTGCTCAGCACCAGGTGGCTCGGATGGGTTTGCAGTTGGCTTCATACCCTGGTGGCTGTCGGGTCACTCCAGCCACAGCAGGTGCCCTGCCTGACCCGCCCTCATGTGAGCAGGGGGGTGTCCCCGGCCCACTGCTGCAGCTGGTAGAGATGCAAGGTCACGGGGGCCCTGCACACCCCAACTGCGATGGGCCCCTCTCTGGGGACCTCTGAGGCTTTGGGGCACCTGCCTAGCCCAGCCCTGGCACAGACAGTGCATCTTGAGTCTCTGAGAGGACAACCAAAGGACCTATGGTTTGTCCCCAAGCCCGGGTGGGGGTCCAGGGAGGTCCCCGTGATGGGTGGGTTGGGGATCGGAGCTGTTGCCTGAGGTCTGCCAAAGGCGCTGTGTCGCTCCAGCCCAAGGGCACTGAGGAGAAGCTGTGCTGGGTGGGTGCTGCTGGCATCCCGTCTCTGCCAAGGTGCCAGTCGAGCCCCTCCCCAACCCCCGTACCGTGCAGGGAAGTCGAGCTCTAAGCGGCGCTCCTCGGACATCATCAGCCTGCTGGTCAGCATCTACGGCAGCAAGGACCTCTTCATCAACGAGTACCGCTCCCTGCTGGCCGACCGGCTCCTGCACCAGTTCAGCTTCAGCCCAGAGCGGTGAGGCCTCTGGCTGCCCGCCAGCCCCCAGGGCGCAGGGGCCCTGCTGTCCACGCCCCGTCCAGAGGGAGGTGCTGCCTTGGCTCAGCCGAGCGCTGCTGGCCTCCCATCCCAGCCCGGGGCTGTCCTCGCCCTGGGGGTCGCTGTGCAGGCGCTCGGCTCAGGGAGATCCCTGGCGCGGCGCTGTGGGTGCTGGTCGGGGCTGGGAGACACCACGACCCCCTCCCCAGACACTTGTCTTCCAGGGAGATCCGCAACGTGGAACTGCTGAAGCTGCGCTTTGGGGAGGCCCCCATGCACTTCTGCGAGGTCATGCTGAAGGTGGGCGCCCTGGGCACCTGCCCCGCCCCCTCCTAGGGCTCCCCCACCCCAGGGCCCCTTCCCCTGGGCACCCATGGGTGCCCCCTTCTCAGGCCCCGTGCCCAGGGTGAGAGCCTGCGTCCCCCCAGGACATGGCAGACTCCCGCCGCATCAACGCCAACATTCGCGAGGAGGACGAGAAGCGGCCTGCAGAGGAGCAGCCGCCGTTCGGGGTCTACGCCGTCATCCTGTCCAGCGAGTTCTGGCCCCCCTTCAAGGACGAGAAGCTGGAAGTCCCTGAGGACATCAGGGCCGCCCTGGACACTTACTGCAAGAAGTACGAGAAGCTGAAGGTACCGCTTTGCCTTCATGGCCCCGTCCAGCCCCCGCGTCTGTGGGTCCCCTCCCAGCCCTTCCCAGCACCCTGTGTGCGTGAGCAGGGGACCCTCAGAGCCCCATGTGCTCCTGGCTGTGCTTGGCTGCGTCGTCTTCGGCCACTTCACTGGGACCCTGTGGCCAGAGCAAGCCCCTCCCTCTGAGCTGCTCTTCCTCTTCCGCCACCAGCCTCTGGCCTCTCAGACCAGGGCTCTGGTGCCTGCGTTCCTGCGTTCCTGCGTCTCTCCCCGTGAGGGCTGGGGAGCCTGTCAGGGCCACCGGCCGCCTTGCCGCCCTGGGTGTCACTCTGCAGCTCTAGCCCCACCCCCAGGTGTATGTCCCTGAAAGCTGCTTTCCCAGGTGCCAGCAGGGAGCGCTCCCGGACCAGGCCCGTGTCTGTGACAGGAGCGGGGCAGAGACAGCCTGGTCTGGAGGCCGCTGGTGGCAGGGGCAGCGTGCCGGGGTGATGGGGTCGGCTGCAGTTGGCACACGTGCCCTGGCAGTCCCTGGGGCAGGAGACCAGGTGCATGCTGTGGTGGCCAGTTGGAGGAAGTGGGGGCTGGGGGCCGAGTTCAGAGGTCCTTCTGAGCTCACGGGCGGTTGGAGACCCTGGTGCATGCTGTAGTGACCAGTTGGAGGAAGTGGGGGCTGGGGGCCGAGTTCAGAGGTCCTTCTGAGCTCACAGGCAGTTGGAGACCTGTTGGGGGGAGGAAGGAGTCGGGGTGCCATCCCAGGTTCTGGGCAGGAGGGGAAGCAGGCTCCTGACTCAAGGGGCTGGTAAGGCCCAGTGAGCACGCAGACCCTGGGGAGCCAGGTACCCCGTGGGGCAAGCGGAAGACGTGAGGAGGGTCCTGGGACATAGCTGCATCTGGGCTGCAGAGCCCAGCCCAGGAGCACCTGGCAAAGCTCCAGGAGGT